AAGAGCAACGTGAACAGTTGAACGTGAAAATGATCCACAATTTGTCATCTTTGATCCTCGATCATTATATACGCATTTCTCGAGCCTTTAAAAATTCGATTTATACGTCATGAACACGTGATATTCAAATCTATCAAATTTATCGATCCCTTTTTTTTTTTAGTTTCGTTTTTCTTTTTTTTTCTTTTTTTTTTTTATATAATACGAAATTCTATAATCGTTTTATTATTATTATTATTATTATTATTATTATTATTATTATTATTATTATTATTATTATTATTATTATTATTATTATTATCACGATTGTCTCGTGATCAATTATTGTGTCGATTGAGAAAATGTCAATTTTCAAAAGTCAAATCGTCCAAATTTTGTATACCTCTTAAAGTCCAATTAAAAAAGTTCGATCGGGAAGGGAAAGAAAAACGAAAAAAAAAAAAAAAAAAAAGAAAGAAAGAAAGAAGTAAACAAACAAACAAACAAATTCTCATTCGAGAATCACGTAATCTCATTAAATTCGTTTAAAAAATCGACGAATAAAAATTAGACATTCCGGATCGTACAAATTGTAAGATCGAAAACGTAGGTGTTTGCGACGTCACACGGCCACGTGGCCAACAAGTTCTTGCGATGTTTCTCTCTTCGGCAACGCGCCTTTCAACGGCTAAGTGAGCCAAATGGGAGGGTCGGAGAGCATCGTGGTCAGGGATTTTACCTGACTTTCACTTAACACTCTAACTCCACGCAGCCAGGCAGGCCCTTGTCTGGTTCTCTCCTTCTCTCTCTCTCTCTCTCTCTCTCTCTCTCTTTCTCTCCTTCTCTCTCTCTCTTTCTTTCTCTCTCTCTTTCTATGCATCACCGGTGCATCGCTACTCGTTCCTTACACGTCATTGCATTATGCGTTCTCATACGTACGTACATACATAGATATGCCGCGACTCGTATTTGCTTTCTTCAAGTTGCACGATCGATTCTAACGCTCTAACGTTTCTCATTATGCCATAGGATACATGTGTCCTGACGCCGCGCGTACAAATCCACGTCTTTTTTTTTCTCTTTTTTTTTTCCTTTATAAAAAATTCTCTCCCTCTCTCTCTCTCTCTCTCTCTCTCTCTCTCTCTCTTTGTCTGAAGAATTTTCTTTTACCGACAAAGATTTTTCTATCGTTTCAAAGATTGACCCCTTACTCCCTCCCCAGCCCCCTCCGCGCATCCCCTCACGTTTCTACGTTACTACGTAACCGATAGGACGACACATTGTAATGTTTGCTTCAGATAAGAAAACAGGTGGGGCACAGAGTGGACAGTGCCGCTATTTCATCTCCGTGACGTATTTGTCCGTTCGTCCGGTTCTTCTTTTTATTTTTCTTTTTCTTTTCTTTTTTTTTTTCTTTTTTTTTTTTTGGTCCCTTACCCTGATCTCCTCTTCCATCCCTCTCCACCAACCCTACGTCAACTTTTTATTTTTCGTTTGTTCAACGATAACAACGTAAGCGCTTGACACAACCAGAGAGAGAGAGAGAGAGAGAGAGGGAAAAAAAAATAAAGAAAAAAAAAATAAAAAAGGATGTCTTCTCAGACGCCGACCTTCGAAGTATGTATGTATGTATGTAGTTTTTTTCCTAGCCGCATAAAGTCGCCTTGATTTACGATCTTTATGAATCCTTCGTGGAAACGATCGATAAGTCGTGTCTGTCTTTGGATATGGGCGATTATTTTTTTTCTTTTCCTTTCTTTTCTTTTCTTTTAATTCATTCATTTATTTATTTATTTCTTTTTTTCTCTTTTTTCTTTTTTTTTTTCTTTCTTTCTTTCTTTCTTTCTTTTCAATGAAATTAAACGAAACTCTTAATTCGGCATTGTTGGTCAGCGGACAATTTTAATCGTTTGCGAACGATCATAATGATTTTATGAAATCAAGAATATGAGAGATCTATGGATCTACCGATTATTGATCAGTCTCTATTCTTCTTTTTTCCTTTTTTTTTTTTTTATGATCGTAAAAGTAAATCGACGACCGAAATTACGAATTTCGTAGTAAATCTACGAGACTCTACGTTTCAACGATGGTTGAAGAGAGAAAGAAAGAGGGAGAAAGAGAGATAGATAGATCGATAGATAGATAGAAAGAGAGAGAGAGAGAGAGAGAGAGAGAGAGAAAGATATCGATAGCTTATCGTTTCGCTCAATCAACGTAATATCTGTCTCTCGTGGACGCACGAAGGAGCAGTTTCGAAAATCACATCCTCCTTCGATGTAAAGCAAGAGAAAGAGAAAGATATATAGATAGAGAAAGAGAAAGAAAGAGAGAGAGAGAGAGAGAGAGAGAGAGAGTGCTATGAGCACGAGCTTATACATAGGAATATCGCGTTCGCTTCACGATCGGCTTATGGCTATCGATCTCCATTATGCGAGCTGATTGGCTTGGAGTAGAGCTGCTTATTCGCCAATGGCCATATACATATCAGAACTAGTCACGTGCAAGCGTTACTCGTTTCGATGATCCTGTTGTTTCACGATAATATATCTATCTCTTTTTTTTCCCATCCGAAAATTTTTATCCTATACAGTTGGTCATAAATACAAGTTTCGCCGAATGATCAGAGATAGAAGAACGGTTACTACCGACGAAAAAAAAAAACCACCCAAAAAAAAGGAAAGAAAAAGCAAGAAAGAAAATCAAGGAAATGTACAAAAAAATAAAATAAAATAAAAAAGAAAAATAAACGATCGAGATACGTTCCTGCCGAAATGAAGAAACAAAAGAAAAAAAAAACAAAAAAAAAAGAAACAAAAAAAAAGAAAGAAAGAAGGATGATATAATGAAAGAAGAAAAAAAGGAAAAACAATAATATAGGTCACAGATAATCATAAAAAGATCAATAGGATAAGAGCTAAACGTTCTCTTTCTCGCGTCGTCTAGAAGGACGACCGATTTTGACGATCACAAGGAGAAAAGCTGACCGTGATTTTTGTGTTACACTCGGTGGAGTCCCGATAAGAAGACGATCATTTGTTAGGTGTCCTAGACGAAGTCATTGTTTCGAGACGTTTCGATCGATAACAACAACCACCACCACCACCACCATCACCATCACCATCACCAATACTACCGTCGTCATCAGCATCTACCACCCTCGTCAACTCCAACCTCCTTCTCTTCTATCCTACCTTTCGCCCTTCTACCCCTCCGGTACATTATTGTTTTCGTCGTCGACGACCCTGCCTGTACACTCTGTTAAAAGAAGACATCGCGATATCTATGGCAGGTTGAATCTATAGACTCCCTTATTCTTTGTCGAGCTCATCCTTTTTTCCTTAGACACTCGCTCATACACGCCCGTACACAAACACACACACATATATATATATATATGTATGTATGTATATATACGTATATATACTCTCCTCCTTCAGAGAAATATTCTTTATCTAACCTTAAAAAAAACATTTTCTATATTCTCGTTGGTTCCGTATTTGAAATTAACGAATAAAAGAGAAAATCGATGTGTCCTTCTATTCTAGTTTTCAATCAAACCTCGTGTTTCTTCAGAAGCCAACAGAAGAACGGAAGCAACAGAAGCAACAAACCAGATCCACGTTCTCCGATACAAGCCTCGACACAGAGAAAGAGAGAGAGAGAGAGAGAGCCCAACGATATACCCATACATACACAACTTCTTCTTGGTTAGGCTCACGTCTCACGAGAAAATCCCAATCATCGTTCTAATTACGATGAGAAAAGAGATTCTATCGTACGATAGAGTATGTAAGTAAGTAACTAAGTAAGTAAGTAAGTACGTACGTACATATACACATACATACATACATACATACATACGTGTATATGTTAGTATCCTCCGTTAAAATGGCCACGAAGTTGAAATCTCTACGAAATACGATCTTAAAGTTTACACGGACGTTTACCATAGTTTGAAAACTATGAAACCGGACGGAATTTCCTTATTCTCTGTATAATATCACGCGTCGCCCGTCTATTTTACTTCTAAGCTCTAAAGATCTTAAAATGGAATCGAGCACAGGTGCTTTCTACGATAAACATCGACACGAGAGAACGAACGAGAGGAAGAAAAAAGAAGAAAAATAAGAAGAAGAAGAAGAAAAGGATTAGGAAGAAGAGGAAGAAGAGGAAGAAGAGGAGGAAGTAGAACAAGAAGAAAAAGAAAAGGAAGAAGAAGAAGAAGATGAAGAGGAACAAGGAGTAGGAACGAGAGGGATTGTACGGGGGAGCGTCGAGACGCCCGAAACATTTCGTTCTCGATCCCACGAGTTGCAAGATATCGAGAGACGTCGTCTATGGAATCGGGTCTCACCATACTACAACAAACGCGATACGCGACTATCGAAAGAAAAAGAGAAAGAGAGACAGAGAGAGAGAGAGAGAGAGAGAGAGAGAGAGAGAGATGTATGCTTAGGGACGCGTCTAAGGTGCGCGGAGGTGGCCGATAAGTCACGGCTAGAAGGCAGGCCACGGGAGTAGCGGACGGTACAAGTTGCCGCTGCTCTTCTACTATATGTGTTAGAGAGAAAGAAAGAGAGATAGAAAAGAGAAGAGAAAGATAGAGAAAGAGAGAGAGAGAGAGAGAGAGAGAAAGAAGGAACGATGGTGATACGCAAGAAGGTAAAAGAGAAAGAGAGAGAGAGAGAGAGATGCAACGAGGGACTCGTGCAGCACGTGTACGTGTTGCTATATGTATACATGCATATATGTTAGAAAGAGAGAAAGAGAGAGAGAGAGAGAGAGAGTGAACGACGATAATACGCAAGAAAGGTGAAAGACAGAGAAAGAGTAAGAGAGAGAAAGAGAGAGAGAGAGAGAGAGAGAGAACGAGAGAGATGCAACGAGGGACCCACGCTCGTGCAGCACGTGCATGCACGCGTACGTGTTCGCTCGTCCTCGCTCGTGTTAGTGTGCTTGCGCCAAGATATCGCGCTTTGCCGGCCATATAGGCTAGGTCGACAGAGTATATACATGGGAACCGATGCTAAGACGGGAAGAGGAGGGAAAGAGAGAGGGGGAGGAGAAGAAGGATGAGGAGGAGGGGGAGGGGGGTAAAAAAGTCTCTGCGATGAGGCCGAA